ATAAACCTAGAGAAATGCAAGTTCGGTCACACTAGAATCTTGTACTTGGGTCATGAAGTCTCCACGGAAGGGATTAGGCCTGAAGATGCGAAGGTGGCTAGCATTCGAGACTGGCCACGACCCCAGTCCGTGATTGAGGTTAGATCATTATTTGCGATGTGTGGATATTATCGCAATTTTGTAAAGAAATATAGTATCATTGCTTCTCCCTTGACTGATCTAACGAGCTTTGACACTCCATGGGAATGAACAGACATATGTGAGGCTGCTTTCGAAAGATTGAAGTATGTCGTCGCACATCATGAGCTTCTCATGATCCCCGATCTTGAAAGGTCATTTGTTGTGATGACTGATGCAAGCCAATATGGTATTGATGCAGTGTTGGCACAACAGGAAGGGAAGAAGTTGAGGCCAGTCGAGTACATGAACAAAAAGATGCCATCCAAGAAATTAGTGAAGTCTACCTACGTGAGGGAACTCTACGCCTTGTGTAAGACCCTTGTCCACTAGAGGCACTATCTGTTGGGTATGTTCTTTTATTTGAGAACGAATCATCAAATCCTCAAGTGGATCAAGACGCAACCTGTTCTCTCTGGCGCACTCAACCGTTGGATTGAAGTCATAAATCAGTATGTAACAAGGTTGCTGATGCGTTGTCACGTAGGGAAGACTACCTAGGTGCGCTGATTACAGAGTTTGGCTTATCCGACAATGTAACTCGATCCTTAGTGGAAGCCTAAAAGGAAGACCCTGTAACGATGGACATCATGCACAAACTGGAGGCCTAAGACAAGGCCACATCTGATGAGTTTGTGATGATGGAGGGATTGCTCTTTCTTGAGAAGGCAGGATTCAAGAGATTAGTGATTCCATCTAGAGATATTTTGTGTAGTTTATTTTTAGGGGAGTGTCATGACGCAACAAGACATTTTGGCTATAAGAAGACTTCTACTAACTTTGTACAACGATTTTGGTGGCCTAACATGCTTGACGATGCAAAGAGGCAGCAGACTTGTCAGGTGTGACAGTTGGACAAGCCGCGGACTCAAGCCCCACTTGGGTTGTTAAAGCCTCTACCCATTCCGGCTGGTCTGGGACAGAGATGGATACCCTTGTGACCAGCAAGAGTGGCAAAAGGCATATCTTCGTCATAGTTGATAGGTTCACTAAGTACGCTAGACTAATTGTCATGTTGGAGACCGCTAGGACGAGCACCTTATCAAGTTATTCATGGATAACTGCGTGCGTGATTTTGGACTGCCAAAGACTATCGTTAGTGATAAAGATGTCCACTTCACCAGTGAGATGTGGAAGAAGGTCGTAGAACAGACGGACAACCAACTCCTTACCTCTCATCGCCAGTCTGTACAACAATGTTGTACACAACACCACCGACGTCACTCCCAATCAGCTGCACTTGGGATGGAAGCCTAGATCTGCTCTAGACTTCCTCCCGCCTGAAAAATGAGCTGCTGCAACTCCTGGAACCATATAGTTTGGTGTCCAGTACGAGAAATTGTTGCAGCAGACTGTCGAACACATTGATTGCATCTGAGAACAAGCATCGCCGACAGTCCACATTTCAGATAGGGGAGTGTGTTTGGGTCAAGGCTAGTGAGTTGGGACAGGAGTTTCACATCTCTAGGAAATGCCTCAGTATCTCGGTCCCTGGGAAGTCTTAGATATTGTGGGTAGTGATTTGGATGTCCCTCGTACGTAATTCGAATCCCTGGTCACCTACACACTTGCCCTGTGTTTCACGCCTCAAAGCTTGCACCTTTCGCTGAGACACAGCAATTCCCATCAAGGAGATCAATGCTGCCCCCAACCATGGGTGGTCACGTGGACGTCGGCGATATCCTGGAACACAGACTCATGCCTGTTCCCAAGCCAGCTGACTGATGAAGACCGCCTAAACCTATGAGAGAGTACCGGGTATGGTTCAAGCATCATACGGATCCTAAGGAGGATCGATGGTTCACAAGAGAGGAACTTGTCAAGACAACTCCTCAGATCGTGGCCGAATACGAGCGAGGACTGAAGGGGAAGGCACCACCATGAAGCATCTCAGCGGACTTTCGAAGCTAAGGGGGATGGAATGCGAGGAATGAGCCCTTGCAGGGCCCTTATCAGACATGCATATGTTCTGGGCAGAGGCCCTCAGCAAGCCCCGTGCCTGCAGGGCCCTTATGAGACATGCATATGTTCTGGGCAGAGGCCCTCAGCAAGCCCCGTGCCCGCCCTAAGTGAAGGCGGGCCTGAATATTCACCAGAGGTCAAAATTTGACATTTCCCATATGTGGGTACTCAGGCTGTTGCAGCACGCCAGTTGGTTCAGAGGAAGCATGAAGCCTTCATGTGCTGCGCCGTACAGTTGGGCCCAGGCCTTGGTAGTTGCACCTGGGCACACACACACAATGCAAGGCAGATACATCACAAGGTGGCTACGGGCCTACGGAAAAGCGGCATTGTCGACGTACATACCCCAGGTCCTGTGCAAATGCAGCAAACTGCCCAAGTCTGGAAATCCTGGGTGTGCCCAACCGAAAAGGGCCCAGGCCCTTAACTGAAGAGCTGGGCCTGGGCGCAGGCACTGGGGGCCGACCCGAAGCTACTGGAAGCTTCCCAGCCAGGCCACTTGCAGCCAAACAGAGGCTGCCTCTTCCATATAGGAGGAAGGGCAGTCAAGGTCTGGAATGCTGGCCCACGCAGGCAATGCGGTCACGCTGCTGCGTTGCTGTGCAAGACGCTGCGTGTGCTAGTGGCCAGGGCGCATGCAGGCGCTTGAGAGGTGAGAGGGGTGCAATGACTTGTTGGGTTTTGGTTGCCTGTAGCCTCTCTTGTCAAGGCTGTACTATAGGTAGGATAGATTCGTAATTTTGTTTGGCTGAGGGCTAACCGAGAGACCTACCTGTAAGGAATTTTCTTGAGGGACATATCTGTAAATTCGGGAAAACACAGGCCCGTACTAACTGGGATTACCTACAGCTACCCGAACTGCGAATAGCAGGCCCGGGCTACCCCTAGGACAGACAGGCCCTACGGGCCTAAGCTGATAGACGGTCCTATAGCCTATAGCCGGGTAGGGGGAGGCCCTAGAGGCCGAAACTGAAACGGTACCGGTCGGTCCAGCCAGTCCGGTCTAGGTCGTGTCTAGGCTAGTGTAGGTTATAGATAGGATGAGGATATCGGTTCAGGGCTTTTGGCAGTTGGTACCGTGTACATCGCTGCTGTGCAACATGTGAACTGGATGTGGTGACAGCTTCAGCGTTGGAGGGGACGGACATAGCCAGACCTGCAGAGTGTCGGCTATCGCTGAGACCAGCACTGTACTCTGACAGCACGTGGCGCTGTCCAGAGGTCTGGGCTACTCGAAGTCTGCTGGAGGCGAGAGAAGTTGGGGCCCTGCTGAACCCTCCTTGGGAGTAGGGTGTCAGAGTGTGTGGCGCTGCAGCCATAGCTGCAGCTTGTCTTCCTCAGAGATCATCTTTGTCAGGAGTGGTGGCGCTGCTACAGACTTCCACCCAGGAAGTCATTTGGCACTTCATCATCATCAGGCACTATGGTGCTGGTCTTTTTCTTCATCCTCTGAGTGGCGCTTGGCCTCAGAGGCCTGTTTCAGGGTGGCCCTCTGGAGGCTGTATCTCAGTGGCGCTTGATGTTTCAGGGACTTTGGGGAAGTAATATCGGTTACTCAGGGTTGGGGAGTGAAGCACTGCGCATTTCTGAGCAGCGCACCATGGTACTGGGGTTATTCTGACATTTTGAGACTCTGAGTTTAATAAACAGTGTGGATACTGTGTGTGGACTATCATTGTTTATTTTTTTCCTGGATGTGATCTACCTGGCTTTCCTTTGTGACTGGTTGTGAGGATTCTGTGGAGCGAAGTACACTTTCAGTGTTCTCTGTCATATCGCGTGGTCAAGTCTTCCACTGTGTCCATCTCTCCCTGTGTGGTGTGATTCTCCCATCCTCTCCCCTTCCTTCTGTGTATGTATGGGCGTACCTGGAAGTCTATGTGAGCGAGTGTTGGTCATCTGACAACAAGCAACCAGGTTCATAACAGGGGCGCTACTGGGCAGCGGAGAGCGAGCAGCCATAGCCGGGCTGCAGGGCGCTAGGGGGTAAGAGGGCGATCGGTGGTCTTCAGGGAAGGAGGCGAGTGTGTAGGTGGTCAGGGTCTGATGAGGGGAGACGAGATACGTACCTGGTACATGAGGAAGGTTGGCTATGGTGTTGACGCCATGTACATTGGTCTTCAAAGTCGAAGTGAGCCTGTTGCGTGAATGCGGATGTAGTAGGATAGGCAGGTAGTCTAGGCTCGGTGCTGGGCGCCAGACAGAGAGGAGCGGCATTGGATACTGTGTTGGTGTGGCCTGAGGGCTTGAACATTGGCTCATGAGTTTCTTGTATTGTTCTTATTTGGATGGGATCTAGGTGCATTTATCCTCTCTGCTTGTACATGACTAGTTGGACATCTGTGTGATTTTGCAACTTGGCGTTCTGTATATCGTTCTCACTCATATTCCTTGCATGCGCATGCTATATTCCTTGCACTTGCATGCGCAAACTTCTACAGATGCCCAGGAGGTCATGTGTTTGAACCATAGTTGTGGCGCACTGCTACGGTGCGCAGTGTGGCGCAGGGCACTGTGCGATATGCTCGAGAGAGTGGTGCACATGCACGTGAGCGGAAAAAAAAAAAAAAAAAAAGACACATTTGCCTGAATTAGGGTGAAGGGTTCCTTGGCTGGTTCGATTATCCTCGATCAATGGGAATGTGTGTTTTCTTGTCTTGCATTGGACATATCTACAAAAGAAAGAGCATAGGAATACATGATGGATGTTTGGAAAAGCAAAATGCACACCAATCCCACATCTCTGCCCCTTGCAGCAAATGATCCGTCAAGAAAGGGAGCCAAACGAATCAGCTGCACTGTCCTCAGATTTTGGTGCACTGATGGGGCCACGCTTGGCTTGTTGTTTTTTGGTTACACAGGTGGCAGTGACCAGTGAAGTGAGTAGGGCACTGGAAGAAGAAAGAGAGGAATGCAGACATGTAAAGGCGGGAATATCACAGGTTCTGGACGCGGAGAAGGAAAGGATAGCGCGAATGAGGCTCGAGCTGTTGCAAGCTTTCCAGGAGATGCGTGAGTTGCATGCACATGAGAGGGTAGGAAGGATTCAGTTGGAGTTGAGGACAAAGCAACAGGAGGATGATTTTGCTCGGGAGAAGGAGGAGTTGGAACAGAAGCTCAGGGTATTGGAGGAGGAAAGTGTAAACAGGATCGAGGATCTGGAGGCTGAGCTGGAGGCAGAAAGGGATGAGAGAGCGAAGGAGAAAGCACAGTTGGTGGAAAAATGGGAGATAGAGCAAGATATGCGGCAAGAGCTGGAAACAAAGTTACAGGACGCAGAAGCAGAGGTTGAAAGACTTAAGGAGGAACTGGAGACAGAGAGAAAGGAGAGAGATGAATTAGAAGAGAAACTTGAGAGCAAGAATCAGAGCTATGAGGATCTAGAGAAGGTGCTGGAGGAGCTGTCACAGAAACTTGTAGACGAAAAGATGGAACTCGAGCGGGAGAAAGAAGATCTGCAGAACCAGTTGGCAGAGGAGAAGGGTGCTCGAAGCGAGGCAGAGAAGAAAGTCAGAGAGCTTCACGTTGCAATAGACTTGAAGGAGCACCAAGGGAAAAGGCAGAAACAAGATCTCGAGGCAAAAATCAAAGACTTAGAGTCTCAGCTGAAGGATATGCAGATACACACAAGGGAAGTCCAGAGGGAGCTTGAGCATGAGCGAAAGGAGAAAGAGGTATGAGAACAGATCAGAAAATTAAAAATTTCATGCATCTTTTTTTTTTTTTTTTTTTTTTAATAATAAAACAGGTCCTTATGGCCCTGGCCCCATTTCCATTCTGGGGAGCGTCAGTCTGGTTCCTATTCCACCGGCAAGTCAGAAAAAAATAATACAACATGAGCACTTCACACATGCTTCCTTCCGTACGGCCGAAGGACCCCTGACCAGCATTGATTACTCCATCTATATGGAGGATTGACTGTCAGCTTGCCCCGCTCAACCCTTTCCTCTCAGGCCCACTGAAGGAACCTGTCAGTTAGAAACGAGAAAACCAAGAAAGGCCCTTAGCAGTCACGAGCCCCTCAGCCTCCCCAAAAAAACCGCCTATTGTCTACCAAGCTGCCTTAACCCTATTTACATTACTTAAACGTAGGCCTAGCCTCTGCTACCTTGAACTGGCTGGCTAAAACCCTTAAACCCTAAACCCTTGAGTCGCTACCGGCTGGCTAACCTCTTTAACCCTAGCCCCACTCCTATTCGTTCAAGTGGTATACCTTCTCTACTAGCCTTCCATTGACAGCGACCTGTAAACTGTGGTCCATAGCCACTTATGTGTCCTCACTTCCAGATCCATAACTTATACGGTACCTATCCTTCCGTTAATGAAGAATACCGTCTGTTCCGTCCTAAACCCGGGTATGTGGTAAGTCTATACTCTCGTCAGCTTGCCCTATCCTGGCCTTAGATTTCAGTCTTGCCCCACCTCTTGAGTCCTCAACCTTTGGTCCTTGACAGTTGAATTTCGTTATGGATTCCTGTCTCTCTATGTATCCTTAGGCCCTTCTGATTGCTTGTCCTGTCTGAGACAGTCTTCGCAGCGTCTGGGTCTGAGCGAAGTCTCCTCCTCCTAGTCCCCACTTTAGCAGTCCTTTAGCCATGTCTTTGCTCTCGTACCTGATGCCTGATGTGGCACCTTTCTCACTTCAGCTGATCAGCCCATCCACTGCAGGTGAGGTCTGGGGCCTCTGGCCTGCTTCTGAATTGTGCCAGTCTTTCCAGCACACTTGGTCATTACGTAACTTGGCCACCTTACCATTCACCAGCCACTGTCTGGTAAACTTCTTCCTAACCTTTTCTTGCTGGTCCTCGTCCTTAGGCATCGACAGCCTTAACCTCTGGAGCATAGATCTTGTCTCCGCCCATACCTTCTCTCTTGGGATGGACAGTCCTTCGATAGTCGTGGAGCATCTTTCCTTCCAAATGATGCATAGAGTCAATTTCCTGACCAGTCCGAACCACAACCTCTCTGTCTTCTGAAGATGATCGGGGATGTTAGTCCAGAGGAGGATTTGGATGGGGTGCTCGGGGAAGGGGGCATGGAAAAGGGAATCCCAGAGGGCTGAGGTCCGTGCCCAGTAATCTGTTGCCTCACTACATTGGATTAGGCAGTGAACTATGTCTTCTTCAGCCCCTTCTGTACAGACTATGCATAGGTCCAAACTGGTGGGATCGTTTTTTTGACGTCTTATATGTAACCATTGATTCACAGGCGGTGCTGCGTACGCAATGAGCCACTGAAGGCTCCTGATTTTTATGGGTCTGATAGTCTTAAATTTCTTCCATGGGATGTGTGTAATTTTATCGGCTTCCTGGCCTACTAGTTTCTGCCATCTGTTTTTGATTATAGGATCTGGGTCGTTTGTTTTAACTAGGAGTTTGTAGCCGAATTTAACTGTATAGTCGTATATGGGGACCTTGGACTTGACATTCCTCTCCCTATCCGGTGTCCAGGCATTCTTCCGGGTCGAATTCCAGGTTCTGGACTGACGTGTCTGGTCTGGAGATTGATTTAGGCCACGAACCTAGTACTCTTACCTTCCTAAGTAGAAAGAAGTCCATGACTACCGATTCCACCTCTCTGTTTAATATAGACGTTATTCCATGTTTGGAAGGGGAGATTGGGAAGGAGGAGAAGAACACTGTGGTGGTCGAACCCGGTTGCATGTGGGAGAATTCGAAGGCTCGTGAGGGAGGGGACTCTTGCACCTTAACCCCCCACTCTCCAGATTTCCACGGCGACGCTTCACACAAGATATCTTTCCAGTCTTGAGGGATGAGGTTAATAATGTATTGGAGGCACCAAAGGTTAACAGGGACCCCCACTATTCAGCCCCAAGGTAACAGCCCCAACCCTGAAAAATGCATTGGAGATCATTTTTTGAATTTGTTTCCAGTTTTTTTTTTTTGTTTTTTTTTTTTGTCCTGTTTTATTTTTGGTCAAGGTCTGTGTGTGCCAAGTTTGGTGTTTGTTGGGGTCTTGTAGTTCACTGTTTTGACCAGCCCTGAAAAATCCTGAAAATCCTGAAAACTGAAAAGAGTGAATTTTGCATGAAAACGCACTTTTGCCTTGGGGTTTAAGGCCCCTTTGATCTTNTTTTTTTTGCTGCTGGTTTATTTGGTGTCCACTCTATGGACTGGTGACAAGTCTGGCGTAAAAGGTATGGGGAATTTGTTATAATGACCCTGAAAAAATCCTGAAAATTTAGGACTCTGTTAACCTCTTCTCACCTTAGATCCACGACTATGAAATCCCTTCAACTGCATGCTCAGCTCCTGTCCGGTTACCCACTCTTTCCTTTCTTCACTCCATAGGTGACTTACTTTCCATACCCCATTTTTGACCCATGATAGCCATCTGTGATCTAAATGCAGGGGATTATCGCCCTCGTCTGTCACCCTTGGTTGCCGAACAGCGGTTGTCTCAGAACCTCGTCTTCAGACCTTGGTCTATTAGTCTTCTTTGGCAGAATTTCTCTCCATATCCGAACTCTTCTTGGTTTTCTCTGCCCTGTCTTGGGGCTCCATTCCTTGGTCATTACCCAGAACACACCCGTCATGTTTTCTGGTGAGGCTACTGGCGCCAACACTCTAATGCTATCTAAAGCTAGTTTGTTCCATGCGTTGTCAGGCTTCATCAGAAGCTTGATTATCCATTTAGCTTGGAGGGCCCTTGTTTCCTGTCTAGGGTCTATAATCCCTAGACCCCCATACAGCGGTTTTCTTGTGATATACTGCTAGGCAATCTTTAGGAATACAACCCTCTTTGTTGGGGTTCCCCGTCCATAAATAGGACCTTGCTCTGCGGTTAAGTTCCTTAACCGAGCTATCCGGTATTGTCCAGATTGAGGCTATATACCACATCATAGAGAACACTGATGTGTTGAGAACTACGGCTCGACCAATTAATGAGGTAAAAGTGTTCCCCATCTCCCTAGTTTATTTGTTCCCCATCTCCCTAGTTTATTAATTTGCTTTGTCAGGACATTTTGGGCCATTTGGGCGCCAGACCCTCCATCGTCATAAGGATGCCAAGGTAGCGGGTCGGGTTGTCCGGCATTTCCCACGTCATGGCGGCCTCAGGCCCTTGCAGATGAGGGAGGTCCTCATTTGATAGCCACCATCCTACCGTCTTTTTCCAGTTGATCCTCATCTCTGAGGCCAATCTGAAAGCTTCCATGGCTCTAGCCAAAGTTCTGAACGAGGAGTTTGAGGCTCTGATCAGGACAGTAAGGTCATCTGCGAACATGATTGCTGTCGGGAAGTTCATATGGTGGGCTGACCCCGCGTTGACCTCTGGGAGTCTGTGAACGGACAGGTCCACGGTTTCCTCAATTGTCCTACTTTTTTTATTATTTTTTTTAACGGTTTCCTACTTGTCAAATCATGAAAAAAAAAAAAAAAACTTTTGACAAGGCCGTCTTCCTGTCTCAAGGCCTTCGGTCAACGTGGGTTCATGTAATGCTCATTGTTGAATGCTGAAGATGGACCAGGGGCCTCGTCCCACTTGCATGCTTGAGTTGAGCTACCTCAACGGTGTGACAGCTTTTCAAGCATTTTTTTATTACGTAGAAAAGAAGAATGCATTTGTTTTTATTTATTTTTTCCCTGCCCACACATTTCGTTGGAATTTTCGTTTTCTTTCCCGTGCAGCAAATCGATCCATGTCACTTGCCCCATTAGGAAAGTCGACAGATCTTTTCCATCTTTCCATCTCTCTCTCTCTCTCTCTCTCTCTCTCTCTCTCTCTCTCTCT